ACATACATATATACTGTGTATATATACATATATACATATATATACATATATACATATACATATATATATATATATATATATATACATATACATATATATATATATACACATATATACACATATATATACATATACATATATATATATATACATTTATATACATATACATATATATATATACATATATATATATACATATATATATACATATATTATTTACAGAAACAAAACTCAATAAATATGAAAAAGAAAAGCAGCTGAAGCTTCAAGTTTCCTGTTTTCAGGACAAACACAACAGCAAAGGTTTTAACACGTCATCATCTTCATCATCATCTTCATCATCATCGCCAGCGGAGGCCTCTGATTGGCTGACAGACGTTAGTGAGACGACGTAGAAAACAAACAGATGTCAGTTTGACCTGCCGGACTTTATCCTCGCTGGACAATCTGTGGACCAATCAGATCACAGGAAAACAAACTAAGTTGTTCCAACATTTTGGACGACTTCCCCCGTCGTGACTGTCAGGGTCAGAAACTCGTTCGGATTCAAACAAATACAGAAAGCCGAAATTAAGAAAGAAGTGTTCAAGTTGTATCCGTTTGTTTGTTGTATGAACACAGTAAACCAGACTCCATTTAAAAAATATACGTTTTAAGGATTCCTTGTTGATTCGTTCTTATCAAATTTATTTAACATGTCGTATATATTCGGTCCATCACATTGTACTTTATTTCATTAAAACTTGTAATAATAACATTTTTCTCTGTGGAAACAAAGTTACGATTATAACTACAGCTCTATGGGTTTCCTGTGAAATCTACAAGTTTGAAACCAAAAACTCAGGTTTAAATTTTTCTCTTCATATTTTTGTTTGTATTATATATTGTATATATTGTTTCTGTGACTCTAACAATCATCAAAATAAACAGGTCTCATAACATCTCATAATGTCTCATAACGTCTCATAAAGTCTCATAATGTCTCATGTCTCTCATGTCTCATAATGTCTCATAACATCTCATGTCTCATAATGTCTCATAACATCTCATAACGTCTCATAATGTCTCATAACGTCTCATAACATCTCATAACGTCTCATGTCTCTCATAATGTCTCATAACGTCTCATAACGTCTCATAACGTCTCATGTCTCTCATAATGTCTCATAACGTCTCATAATGTCTCATAATGCCTCATGTCTCATAACGTCTCAGTCTCATGTCTCTCATAATGTCTCATAATGTCTCATGTCTCATAACGTCTCAGTCTCATGTCTCTCATAATGTCTCATAATGTCTCGTGTCTCTCAAAACATCTCATGTCTCATAATGTCCCTCTATCTGTCTTCACTTTAAAATGAGGGATAATCATTGAAGGGCATAAATAAGATAAGATAAGATAATCCTTTATTGGTCCTGCAGTGGGGACATTTACAGGATCACAGCAGCAAAGTGGACAGTGCAACAAGGTACATGGTAAAAAAGAAACAAAAGCAGCAAGTATTATAAATAAGTAATAAACAGTAAAGAATATTAACTAGTAAAAAAGTACAAAAATCCACAATAACTAAATATAACTCAAATATATAAATAAATGTTTATTACTGAACATGGAAGCAGATCTTTGTACATATCACAGCTGTGCAGTGATTGATTATGAACAGTATTTATTGATTGTGTCTCACTGTGTTTTTCTCTGTAAAGTTGATCAGAAATAAATATTTTTTATGGTGCTTCATCCTGATGAAGAGTCGCTTTATTGATCCACTGATGACGTCGTCTCACTTTTTATTCAGCGGGGTTTAAAAGGTTATTTTAGTTTCACCCTCGTTAACTAATTAGATGACACTGCAGACCTACAGATACCAAAATACCTTCAGATCCAGGATGGGATGAAGAAAAGATCTCCATTCATATATCTCTCATTTTAAGGTTTGATCCTGACTCAGTAAATACAAACACCAGTTCAACTGAAACACATGAGCCGTTTGAACACCTCGGGTATTCTTGTAGATTCGGCATAAATTTCACTCACCAATAGAAATATATTATATAATAAAATTGGATCAGCTATCTGCCAGCTATCACTGTGGGAGCAGGACTCAGTAAGAAACCTTCATTTTGTTCCTTGTCATTATATTATTGGATGTTTAATGTACGCAGAGTTGAATATTATTCCCTAAAAATGTCATTTAAATTCATCCGTCATTAAATATGTCGTTGTGCTTGTCACAACATGTGACTTTTTCTACTGAAAGGGAAATAGTGAGCCGAACTCCATAGATTTATCCGTCAATTTAAGGAGTACATGAATATTTTCTTGGACTTGGTCACTGAGTAGAAAACAAATATTAACTTTAATGGCAACGTTTGGTTCTTCTGGTGAATTCGGCATATATTTAATAGAACAAGTATCCTTCATATTAATACAAGTCTTCATTTTGCCATTTGCTTACGCTGTTTGCTAACGTTAGCTCATGAGCACCATTTTGAAACCAGACGTAGTCAGGACAACATGTTGAGCTTTTCTTAAAGAAAAGGAATAGAAGGAGTGATACCTGGTGTATAATATGTGTGCCGAATTGAAGACTGGTCCATAATAATTAACTTGTATTTATTCAATTGGTTGATCAATAACTAAATGCTTGAATTAAATCAGAAGATTTCCAGAAGTGGAATAAATCTCACGGGAGACTTGAGTGGTTGGACATTGGTTCCGCTGACGTGTTTCCAGTCGGACGCAACAACATTCAGCGCACAGTCGTTTTCCGGACTAGCACGACTAGTTTCCGTGGTGAATAATAAAGTTAGTTGGTCATGAATTAACTAGTATGATTTAACTAGTGGAACCAGCGGTCAGCGCCTCAGAATGGACCCGGAACACAGAGCTCTGCTGCGGACACACCGGCTATATCTGTCCGGGCAGCTGCTGGTCACCGACACCATCGTTCCGTTTCTGTTCCAGGAGCACGTGCTCACGGAGGCTCACGTGGAGGACATCGAGGCTCAGCCCTCCGACACGCTCCGGTGTCGGAGGCTGCTCGACCTACTTCCGGTCCGCGGGCCCCGGGCCTTCGGCTGCTTCCTGCGGTCCCTGGAGGACTTCGGCTGGGTCAGAGACAAGCTGCTGCTGGAGCTCCAGGCCAGACCAGGAACAGGACCCAGCGCTGCAGGTGAGAACACGTCCAGGAGAAATGTTTATTAATGTAAACATAAGAAGAAGAAAATAAAACATCTGTCACTCTTAAAACAATAACAAAAAATAATTATCAGAACTGTGCAGTTTAAGAAAATAAAAGTTCATAATGTGTCATTTTATAAATCATCACCTTTAAATAGAAATTACATTTTAAATTTAATAAAATAAAATTACGTCTGAATTTTGACACAGTTAAAATATGTAAAAAACCTTTCGATTAATTTAAAAGTGAAAACATCTTTAAAATAAGTTAAACATTTAATAATATTATTATTCATATTAATATGAATAATAATTCTGAGATTATAATTTAAAACACATTTAAGAATATTATTTATAATTCTGTAAAAACTCTTAAAAGTTCTGAAAATACATTTAGAAAAACTAAATACGATTTTGAGATAAAGGAAGAAGAGGAGGAGCTCCTCGTCCTGCAGGAATCTTCTTCTGCGTCTCTGGGTACATCCCAAGTCTCTTAATTCTCATTTCCTCGATCCTCGCTTGAACCGGAAGTTGTTCTGCGCCACCATATTGACAGCCGTCCCAAAGCTCTAATGTAGCTCAGAGGAGCGAGGATGGAGGAGAGAGGAGAGAGGCGGGATCTCCGAGGAGCCATGAGGAGGACCCACGAGAACAGACTTCCAGGAAGTGTTTTAATAGCCGACACGCCCCCTCATTGTTCATCAGTCATGTGATTGGACGCTGCAGCCGATCGGACTGATGAGATATTTTTCAACATGTGAAGACGGATCACAGATTAAACTGTGATATATATATATATATATATATATA